AAATTGTGCGGTTGTAAAGGCGGCAGCCATGTTCCTTCCGTTGTCTCGAAATATGATTGATCTCTGTAAAACATCCGTGATACAGATGCCTGCGGGTTCTTTCAGCGAAGAGTGTCAGTGTGGAGGAGGGGCAGAGAGGAGGTACTCTCACTGAACTGTGGCAAACTATAATATTACATCTGTTCATGCGGTAAGAGCAGTCTAATAAGTGCCCGGAATGTCATTCAAGGTTTGCTCGTCTTTTCCAATGAGCGGGATTCCATACATTTCGGCTCATGCATTCTCGCTGCAAACAGCGATAATCAATTGATCTTTGTAATGGCGAAGTGTGGTGTTTTCTTCGCGGTACGGACTGAATTCTTAAATGTTATTAAGAGGAGCTTCGGCTTCAAGGCCTTAGAGTGTCAGTGGCTCTTAGCGATAAAAGAACAGTTATTTTTCCAAGGTCTTGGCGACTGCAATTGAGCCTTGTGTTCGACGCGCTTGTGTGCCGAGGGACCCGTTCGGGCTTATCTTTCCTTTCAGATGTTCCGGAAATTCTTATCTTTGTTACGGTATTCTTATTCGACGACGACGTGGAGAGATAATCTTGACGGGAGACAGCTCTTTCACAAGTTAACTTTGTGGGAAAATGTAGGAAATACCTTACGGGTAGCTGGTGACCGGATTGTGATCTGAAACGGGTACGTAACACGAATATTCGTAGGTCTACAAAGTCTGCCAGTCAACAGTCACTCATTCATATTTTAAAGTAGTCCTTATCGATTTTGCCTGGAGTTAGAACGCAGGTGAACCACCAGGCATTGGGATCATTACCCATCATCCACAAGACCCTCTTTCTAAGATCTTGTCCAATTACAGAACAAGTTAGGAAGTGTGCGCATCGCGAAACAGTTCTGCCAGGATTCGATCTTTGACCGCTGCTGATGGCAAGAATGACTTCCTCGCTTGGTCACCTGCGTGGCTGGGTGGTGACGTCATCACGGGATTACCCAAATTACTGTGTGGGTGTTCGCTCCTCCGGGTGCGTCCCAGGGCGGTGGGATTTATGCCAGCGCCTTTCCGAAGCCGGTCGGGTTATAAGTGAATTTCCAATTTCAACCGTAATATGCACGGTATGCTTTCGCAGAACGAGACGCACACAAGTGTTGCTCGACACGCGAGCGTATCAGAGGAACAGACGACAGGTACAGTGACGTATGAAAGTCGTTACAACAGCAGCGATCTCCTTCACGTGATACGCGGACCAACTGGACGTCTATCAAAGACGTCAGTGAGTCCGTATTCTGCACACATCTTCTTGTAATTGCTTCATTTATTTATTTATTCATTCATAGTGACTTTCCGAAAAATGACTTTTCGAGATGACTCTGCAGGAAATGTTTAAAGGACTTATTTCCAACTCAGAATTTATGCTTTCCAACCAACCAACACGCAATCAGAGCTAAACTTTTCACTTATTTCGTAGTAAATTCCCCCCTCCCCTCTCCTACAATTTCTTATTCCAGTGTGTTCGCGCGCGCACACACAAAATTTTGGCCTCTTGTCGCCTGAAGACTTTCTCCTTTCGTATCCTCACCAGGCCACATCAGGTGGCATCCAGCCGTCATATAATAATTTGAAATCCTGCCCCTCAGTTATCATCGTCATCATCGTCGCTGTTTATGGCTTCTGCAGACTAAAATCGAATTTAAACGATAAATCTTGTCGATCTTACAAATCGAGCGCCGACCGACAAATGAAGATGCTGTGGTCCTCCTCGTCTCTTACGGCAACTTCAGGGATAGATAGGTCAAGACCGCTTCTTTCCAAATCCTTACCAATTCATCATTCGTTCCTCTCGATACTACCAGATGTCTCAAAGTCGCTGGTAAGAAACGCAAGATATCTCTGAGATTAGTAGAACGAAAGTCTGACTGTGTAAACTGTACATGAAGAAGTCACGTTGTGGGAACGTGTTGGAAGATTCTTTAATCTTATGCCAGGATTTATATTATTTTTAAAATTGTTTTCTGCGTAAACAGGTTTGTTATACCCAGCCAAGAGACATGACATGTCTTTCTTTATAAGTCGTAAACGCGTGTCGAAACAACGTGTTATTCAACCACGTTTGTAATCAATGGATAAACTGACCGAGAATTCTCCTTCGTAACTGTGATCTTGGGTGTTTATTTTAAGAACGTGAAAGGAAAAATAAAATAAAAATGGAATATGTAAGCGACGGGGGAATAATAAGAAATAATGTAAGACGAAAATAATAAGTAATAAACTATCGTTGTTTCTTGTGCCAAAATGCGTGTCTCTTTTCGTGTCATCACATCTGCATAACCCACGGCGAGATTAATTCGGGGAAGACTTACTGAACACGGTCGAGGCCGGGTACGAACCGGCATCCCTGTGCAGAGCACCACGTGTTCGGAGTAGGACGACGTTGGTGTGTGCAGGTGCGGTTCCACGCATTCTTAATAATTATTTAGCAGTGTTACATAAATGTTGAATGGGGCGAGTGACTGAATGGATATTCGTTCGCACTGAATTTGAAGAATTGGAGCTAAATTTTGCGTGGGGGTAGAGAATAGTGGGGGTGGGGCTTGTTGGACTGTTGTTCTAAAACAAGACAGCAAAAAGTACGAGAATCGAAGTCCCAAAAACGCAGTTGTAATTTTCCGAGGCTGTTCCAAGTGACTCACTTGCCTTAATGAGTTTTTCGATGAGCCTATGAATGAGGAAGGGTGAGGGGGGAGTACCCACGCAACAATCACACAATAAGAACTTTCATTAGAAGCTGTTCAATGATAGAACTCAATGAATCTCGACTGTTCTCGTATTATCTTCATGAACGATGACGTAATAATAATAATATTTCATTTGTCGTCTTGGTTCTAGATTCGCTTTTTTGGGGCGAATTTTATTTTTTTCGCCAAATTATTTAATTACTCGAGCGTTAAACGAACCAGAGTACCTGCTAAGAACATCGTCGGTGTTAAGAATATATTTCCTTGTATTCCGTCATTGTGTTGGTGTTATCGCGAACTCTAGCGGCAAGTGATCCGTACCACGAGGTCGGTCGCCGCTCCGAACTCCCAGCCATCGTTACTCAGCAAATGCAGACTCGTGCAATAATGGAGTTGACCAACGTCGATAATTTCTCACGTCATGATCCTCCTTATAGAATTAGCAGAAATCATTAATTTTTCATAAATTTCTGCTAAATACTGTGTTGTTACTTACTCCTGAAACCAATGGTTACAAATTTGACTTGTAGTCATAGGTCCTCTTATTGCAAAATGAAAACATGTTGATGGCTGGAAATGTTTTATTAGTCGATTATTGTAGAGCCTGTTACGCTGTTTTCCTAGATTCGATGTCCTCATGGCGAAGATGTCGATTGTTGCCTGCTGGGTTGCAACGCCGTGAGGTCATAACTACAATCGATGTTTTGAAGTTTCCCAGAAAGAAATCCGTCTTGCTCAACGCTAACCTGCTCTGAATGTAAAAGACGTGTGATTTTTACTGAGGCAGTGAGAGGAGCTAACCACGTAAAACACTTGACTGAACGTGACACAAATAACTATTAATTACGGCCAACGGTGGATTGAATACACATAAAACTTACACGCGGCCTTGAAAAAATTGCATGTGTAACTAACATTGTGTCACCCTAAAATTTTAGTAGCATTTGTGAGTCACTTCCGCTGTGGTTTGTTACATCAGACAGTCATCCTGTGAACTTCATCTTTTCTCACAAAGCAGCGTCTGAGAAAATTAGTCACTTGTGACTAAACACGACCTCATCTTCCTTCCAGTCCAAGAAATATTAGGGCCGAGTAAAATTCGTATTTGCGTCAGTCATAATGAGTTCAAATCCGATGAATGGTTAAAAATTGCTGTGGAACGTGCGCGCGCACTCAAATACTCGATATAATAAACCTCATCCCCTTGTTCAGTAGGAATCTGAGCTAGACACTGAACCTGGCTGATTGTTGCTGTCTGAAAATATATGCACTGACGTATTAATAAGACATTAAAAGTTTCAGCAAAATTACATTTACGGAGATATAATGAACGCACCTAAAGCTGCTTTGCTATGACGTCGTATACAGGCGTAACGTACATATGCCACAACGACATCTGGCGTTATAGTTAGGAACTATATTCAGTCAGTCGAGTGAGTGTATCGATTGAAATCGTTTTGGAAACCATTTTCGTATCCCGATTTTTCGAATGTCTAGCAGAAGATGGAGTTCACAGTTGTTCATGAGCACACATCGAAGGTATCTATATTGTGATCCATAAATATTCGTTGAGTATAGGAAGTAACAGCAAATGTTCATACCGAATAGAATTGCGCTTTGTTTCCGTCATTCGCGTAACATGACTTTTTGTGAGATGAGAAATGTGGTTACCTAACTCGCCGCGTTTACTAGCGCTAATCAATACTAGGTCTGCAAAACCTTGTACGATAAATACGATGCTTGTAATTAGAAATTCTGAGAAAGAAAACTCTCTTTTGACTTAGTATTAATATATTAAATATGTTATGATGCAATAAGTGACATATTTTGACTTTTCGTAATTGGAATTTGTAGAGTAATGAGCCCGGCTTTTTTGCAGAAAATATTACATGTCATTTGGTTAATAATGTGCAACGCTACGATGATTATAGTTGACTATTAAGTCTTGGCAGAATGTCATTACATCTTTAATTCACTGTCAACGAAATGACGGGATTGTTTGTACTATTACTACTAATAAAATCAATTCTGTCATTAATTAATTCCTTCTGAAATTATGGGAAGTAAAACTTCTGATTTGCACGAAAATATGCAGTGAAAGCAAATCTCACACGGGAGTGCCGTTTTACGAAATAACACACGGAATAAATGTATTGCTCCTGCATACTTAAGCATAAACATCTTGGTACATAATGCAAATTATGGACAGTTGAACACGCTAATTACTTTGATTTCTGATGTAAATGTGTTTGTTCAATTTTGTAGTTTGACTGACGATACTCATTCTGTGGCTAGTGAGTCACGTGACAGACCAGAGGTAATAAATACGGTTGCAGGAGACGCTTACGGCCTCTTTTCCACAGTAGCATCCGACGCGGTAACAGAGTTAGGACGTAGGTTCAGAATGCCCGAGACTTCATCACCGTATATCAACGGATATCAACAAAACGGACACATGGAGCCAGAACTTTTGGAAGATACATTCCTTTTCACATCAGAATCAGTAGGCGAAGGCCATCCAGGTGGGTAACGTTCTATAATTTTGACCGTAGAAAGGAGTTTGTGTGCATGTTTGATTGGCGCGCAACCATGTGCGCAACGTGGACACTTCTAAGGGAAATGGCCTTCTGCCAGCCCTGGTTTGTAAATGAGTATACTCAGTCGCTCTTTAACGAAGCTGCGTCTGTTGGTTTATGTGTGAGTGTGACCGTGACCCGTGTTTCAATTTGTGGTTAATGTTGTGTCAATACCGCCATTTTCTGTTTCGCGTGGTGCAAATCGGATTTACAGACAAACAATTTGGCAAGAGCTTGGCGATGATTGTTTATATTTCCCCCCGTATGTATATAATACCGTTACGAATTCCCGTTACACGTAGATTTCAAAGTTCCATTGCTTAAACCAAGGACATTTATGATCTCAATTGCCTTTTTTTGTGTTGTATTGGTGAATGATTTACCAGTGTGCCTGAATAATTATAGGTTAAGGTTGCAGATGGAGCTGTTCTAACACCGAGATTTTTTTCAGATAAGATGTGTGATCAAATCAGTGATGCAATTCTTGATGCCCACCTGAGACAGGATCCTGATGCAAAAGTTGCCTGTGGTGAGTGGAAATATTTTAACAGGTCCTTTTGCATGAAGTAAGAGTTGTATGGACCCTGAGAACTGTTGGAGAGAATGATTGTAATATGTGCGTATCCAGGAGGGTCATTCTGTAGGAAACAGTTCAGTTCTATGGAAGAATTAAGTTTTATTTACCGTAGCTCATTGTGTACATATGATAAAGCCGTTAACATACATTACTCTAATTCCCATTCATTTAAAACTAAGTATGCTAAAGGCTTGGTAGCATATTCTGCAGGTGTATCAAGTTGAAGAGATTTTTAAAAGCATGTTTTGTTTAGGAAATTATGTAGACTTCACTGTGCTGTTTGTCATGTCACAGTGTGTTAACACATTTGCTGCTAGTCCTGTTGACTGACTGTCTTGTGCTATCAATGTTGCTCAAGTGCAGTCAGACTCATATGAAGTAGCTTTGATGTAACAGTTTATATTTATAAGTGGACACTGGCAGTCTGGATATGGCATTATGTAATGTTCTAACAACACTTGAATGAATTTTCCTTGTTTATAAGCTTGCAGCTTGAGAGTTTGAAACAAAGGTTGAATGTGGCCCTAGTTTCGGATGAATTATACTGTCTAATTTTGTGTTGTAGTTCATGTTCTGTATCAGCTGATCTTGAATGCGATTGTGGTCATTATTTATCATGCAAGGTACAAACAAATTTTCATAGCCTCAACTTGATCTTGCATATAATAATTTAACTGCAAAGCTGACGTAGGGGAATGCCCCAAATATGACATTTGTTTGTGCACATTTTGAATCTGGAAGTCACCTGGTTTCTGTGTGGTTATTGCAGAGACTGTTACAAAGACAGGAATGATCCTTCTGTGTGGTGAAATTACATCGAAGGCCAACGTTGACTACCAGAAGGTTGTACGAGAAACGGTGAAACATATTGGTTACGATGATTCATCAAAGGGTGAGTAAATGTGTGTACGACTACAGCGTTTGATTGTAAAAAAATTTATAATTTCTTGCAAGTGATTATTTGGTAATTACTGCTTATGTGAGTCAGTTCCTCGTTATTTCTTTGTTTCGTGAGAATACCAGTTAGCGCCTGTTGAAAGTGGGCAGTTGCGCACTGTTTGAGCTCATTTAGTTCTTTTTAACTTGATGTAATATGGGGATTTTGCATTTTGTTTCAATAATATGTCTGTATTTCTCTTGCAATGAAGCAGAAATTGAGATGAGGTTACAGAGGGTTTAGGAAATGCGTAACAAAGCGTTGAGAATTATTTGTCGTGTGGTACGTGTAGGTGCATCTCCCAAGGATACTGGCACCCGGCAAATTGCTTTACGTATTGTGTATTTTAGTGAGAATGCTTTGATAGTTGTGATATTGTTTTCATGAACTAAGCCAATTGTTTGGGCGTCGCCGAATAACGTAGTGGCCCGTATTATTAAAAGTAGGAAGTTCAAAAAAGGTGGGTCTTGAATTTTGCCCCAGGTTAAGGCTAGCTCTGTGTTGACACCCGTAGGGTTTGATTACCACACTTGCAATCTGCTGTTGGCCATGGAAGAGCAGTCGCCTGACATCGCCAACGGTGTTCACAAAAACAAGGAAGAGACGGATATTGGCGCAGGTGACCAGGTATCTACGTTCTTGTAATGTGACTGGGAGGTATTCCGTGGATTCAGAGGATATCTGAATGTGTTAATGGAGGTTTTATGTTTTGTGAGGAATGAGGGTTGAAATGTTTATTAACATGCTTCTAACAGCAGGGACTCGCTTCGTAAGAAGTTGGAAGAATGTTGCTGTCGATGGAGTTAATTCTGTTTGCGCTCTGTTGGAATGAAAGTTCGGGCAGCTGGAGAAGCTGTAGTTAATAGCAGATCCTTGGTGGTTTGCGGTACCTGATGAAAGCAATCGTCTTGGAACCGCACTTATAACTTGTAGATTTTGTGCATCACAAAATGTGCATGAAGTGTTTCATATGCCAGTTTCTTCGAGGTGTGTGTCTGTGCGTGTGTGGTAGAGATGGGCTGCATGGTGGGAAATTTAACTGGTTGCATTGTGTTGTCTGCTAGGCAGTGGAATATCACGAAGCACAAACTTCTCAGATGCAAGGATTCAATAATTGAAACTTTTTTGTATTCTGTCAGCAGCTTAGGTTAGTACATAGGTGACTTTCAGCTGTGGGAAGTTTGTAGGATTTGAGGTTTTCACGGCGCAACAACTCGGAAGATGGCAATTTTCTGCGGGAAGTTTGTCTGGAAAATGTCTCGCGATAGTCCCTTGTGTCTCGATATTTTTAGCATTTGTTAGCGGAGAAGGCAGCAACTTTCTTTGTTGTACTGTAAGAGTTTTGCAGAGTTTTTTTTTTATGTAGACGGCCCTTATACAGTCGTCTGGAGTGTCAGAAGGTAGCTTTAATCAATGCGCAGGTTGGGCAGTCTTGACCAGAGTGCGTGTATGAAGAGTAATTACGCCAGTGGGAGAATGGTAGGACCCGAGTCAGTCTAGAGAGACAGGGGGGTGGTGGTTACATGGATGGACGTACATGACGATATGTTGAATGAAGTTGGGAAAATAAATTTTTATAGGTTTCTAATAATGGAGAGAAAAATTCTTTAGATGTTTCTGTGGTTGATTTTAAAAGAATGAGGGGCCTCTGTTGATTTTCGTACTTTTTTTTATTGTTTTCAGAGGCCTGGGGTTATGAATTTTTTGTTGGCAAGACTAGTCGAGCATTCAGTATATGCGTTGGGTTTACACGTTCAACATGTGGTGTAATTGTAGTGCATATGCAGCTGATACGCATCTGTTGTGCGTTTCTTTCTCGACCTAGGTTTTGATTACAAGATCTGCAACGTATTGCTGGCCCTCGATCAGCAGTCTCCAAACATTGCCGCAGGTGTTCATCTCAACCGCAGCGATGATGATGTTGGTGCTGGTGACCAGGTGATTTTATTGTTGTTTGCCTTCTATATATTTTCTTTTGTGCAATTTCACATCTGGTAGATGCAGGTATAAATTCTTGGTTGAGTCTCGTAGCCTCGTGCTGCATTTTTGTTAATGGGATGCTCCTTTTGCATACTGTAATATTAAATCTCTTTGAGATGGCTGAATTTTTTTAGGTGCGCCCGTTTTTCGCCGTAGTTGACTACACGCTTCATAATTCTTAAGTGGACAATTTATGGCAAAAATTAAAATCCTGGTTTTTAGATTCCTGAGTTTCTGCTTTACTTTGATTCTGTTTCTGCTGTTCAAACTTTTATCTTCATTTAATTTACTTTGGACTAACAACTTGTTAAAGTAAACTCCGGAATTTTGCGCTAATGTGTACGTGTGTACCTTTCTTTTTGTTTTGATGTCTTTGATTTAATGTTTATTGGTCCAGAAGATCACAACAGGCTCGGTACAATCCGCAGCGTCACGTAGTGATGCAAAGGTGATCTTTTCACACGTGGGAAAATTGTCATTCGTGATTTTGAGAGTCTCTAATCTTAAGTTTTGTATCGTCAGAATTGTTCTACAGACAAAGTAGGTCATGTGGATATCTGAAAGAAATTTTTCTTTATCCGCACACAGAATCTGCATAAAGAAATGAGTGATAATTTGTGCTTTTTGAGTATGGAAATTCTCTTTTGCATTACTAACATAGAGAAAATTCTTCAGAATTTCTCTTTTTACTGCTGATCTCTTCAGCTGTGCTACCCTGTTTTAGTTTTGTTGGGTTTCTGGTGTGGTGATTGTATTGCATTGCTCATTGTGTTTCTGTAATATTGGTGATCGTGTAACGGCTGTTCGTGTGGAATTTTACGGTGCTGGTCTAAATAAGGTGGAGATTGAGTAAGCCCCACGATTATCATCTGAGACTTCGAAATTGACGTAACTGAATGTAGTAGCACGTGCATGCACAGTTTACGTTTCATTCATTCTTTTGATTGAGCTATTAACAATAATTAATTAAAGGTCTGATGAGGCCGGATTGTCAAAAGATTTTTCTTGTGGTTTTTCTGCTGTACAAATTATCGTGAAGTTTTCTAGAAAAATCGTCAATTTTCTGTTTGTGTTCCGTCTAGCGAGGCTTTTGGTGGCTTGTCAGTTTGAGGAGACAAGTATAACTAATCAACAGATGGCATCAAATAACACAATAAGGAAGGCGTTCTTTACCGTTTGTTTCCGCGCGTGCTTCGAGTCGGAATAATGTGATATTGCGAATGTCCCACTGAACGTGTTTTAAGAAACCATTTTTGTATGTATGTAGGACGGTGTGTGAAAAGTACGCGCTAATACGTTCTCTATAGAATCTAATTTTGAAGTGTCGGATGGCGAAGAAATGAGGTGATTATGTAGCACTGTAAAATCATTACTGCTTCATTAATAATTTATTTCATTTTAAGGTTAGTCATTAAGGACCAGATTAAGTAATTCATTGAGTAGCATGTCTTGGCCACAAACTTAGACGTGCATGCAGTTTTACGTACTTAAGGACTGACTTTGTTTTATTTCATGCGGGTTGAATTGTGTTGCACTTCGCATGTTGTCTTAACTTTTGAGTTGTGATGTTTCCGCTTTCTAGCCTTAGTTGAGTGCACTGTTGTTTTTTTAACTCTAATAATAGAATCTGTCATTGATTCTTGTTTCATTTTAAATGGAGTTAGTTTATTTTTGGCAGGAAACTTTTATCAGAAGGCATGTCCATGTCTCTGAACAGAATTTAAACCTGACACCAGTGTTTGAGTGTTCTAATATCTGATATTTTTATTCACATCCTGGAAGAAGTAAGAAAGTGTATTTCTCTCGTGTGCAGTTTGTGAGGTTATGTAGAAAATTTAAATAACAGCAATTCTTCCCAATTAATGAATGTAACACTGACGAAAAATTGTGTGAATAAAGCTTATTTCAGGATTGTATTTTGTATAGATTCTGCTCAGACACTTGCATTAAAGTTGTTGACGGACCTGATTCCTGTTTGAGAGACCCTAGGTTTAAGTCTGAGCCCAAAAACCAGCGTACCTGTCAGGTTCTTCGTTGTTTCCTTCATTCTAGTTCCAGCCCTAAGGCCTTTGGTTTGACGCTGTGTTGCATTGCAGGGTTTAATGTTTGGATATGCCACCGATGAAACCGAGGAATGCATGCCATTGACAGTTGTGCTTGCTCACAAACTGAACCAGCGTATTGCAGAACTGAGACGAAGTGGTGAATTTTGGTGGGCACGCCCTGACTCCAAAACACAGGTAAGGGTTCTGTTGTAATCAGACGATGGCTGTACTTCTAGAAAATGCCACATTGATAGCTGACGAGTTGCGTCTCGGGACACAGCTAACGAAATCGCTCCGTCTCTGCTAATACGTTAATCTTGGCTAGAGTGTGACTGCCTCAGTGATGTGTGCCAGTATTTGCTACTCTTGATTTCTGTATGATGCAAAACTACCACCTGATGAGATGAGCTGAGAGATTGGTCACATGCTTACAGAACTGGGGGAAAGCTCTTGAATGCATTTTGTCTTATGTTAACCAGTCCACGTGAAATGTCGCTTTGTTTCTTCGTCTGTAAAAGAAAACAAAATTATTCAAAGTTGGGAGGTTTGATGTTTGTTGCATATGAATTACGGTCGAGCGTGAAGTGGTAGTGTTCATTACGAAGCAACTAGTCGCAAACTCCGTGGACCGAAACAGAATTCAGGTTGTTTTAAAGCTGGTGATTTTATCAGTGCACATGTACTGAAGTACCCTAATGTTAAGTACTACAAGTGAATTAAACATCTGCGGCGAAATCTAGCTGGTGATTTTATCAGTGCACATGTAGTGAAGTACCCTAATGTTAAGTACTACATGTGAATTAAACATTTGCGGCAAAATCATCCACGGCATAATCTTCAGAATTGTATGACATTATTACAGGTGACATGTGAGTACTACATGTCGCAGGGCGCCTGCATCCCTTTGCGTGTGCATACAGTAGTGGTCTCTGTTCAGCATTCAGAGAAAATAAGCCTGGAGGATCTCCGAGAAGATGTGATGACCAAAGTGATTAGAGCGGTGATACCAGAGAAGTATTTGGATGATAGAACAACCTTTCATATCAATCCCTGCGGGCTGTTTGTTGTTGGAGGACCACAGGTAGGAGGGCTCTTTAAAATGGGCATAAGTTATTGGAGGACCACAGGTAGGAGGGCTCTTCTTTAAAATGGGCATAAGTTGCTTGATTGTGAATGGTGCAGTAGAAGCCAGGCAGAAACCAACGTCTATTTATTTCGGTGTTCTTATTAACTACTCTGCATACCTGTGTCATCCGGTATCTGCTTGATTGTATTTCGTGCCTGTGTTTAAAGGGAACTGTAATATCACCATGGTGACCATGCAGAATATTTCTAGTTCTAATAAGTGATGCAGTCAATGCATAAATACTTGCCAAAGATTCTTATTCAGGCAAACAATGGTAATACTTTATCTTCAACGAGATGAATGGGATGCTGAAAGCCTGCTCAGTGATGTTTATTTGTATTTGCTACTCTTGAATTTGTATGATGATACAAAGTGTCTGAGAGACCGGCCTTTCTCTGTTACTGCGCGTGAAATTGAAGGCGGTGACAGTGCTCATGGAAGTTTTGTTTTAGAGCGATGCTGGACTGACCGGTCGCAAGATCATCGTAGATACGTACGGAGGCTGGGGGGCACATGGCGGAGGAGCTTTCTCCGGCAAGGACTTCACCAAGGTGGATCGTTCTGCCGCGTATGCCGCTCGTTGGGTCGCCAAGTCCTTGGTGAAGTCTGGACTCTGCAGGCGCTGCTTAGTGCAGGTGATGGTTTAATGCCCATTAGCAATCCCCGATGCAGGGGTCTTTGCGGAGTATTTGAGGTGTAGGTATTTATTTGTCATTGGATGGCACAGAATGTTTTGTCTTGCTAAAGTGGAAGTATGGTAACAATAAAAATGGATGACTTGGATTGGATTAATCTCACATTGGGCAGGTACCAAGGGTCTAGGTTGGCCCCACGAAAGATGTGGAACTTCTTCACTAGCTAAGTGAGTGTTCAGTTTCTGTATGGAGTTAATACATTTTGTGACCTCTTACAGGTGTCATATGCCATTGGAGTGGCAGAGCCTATTTCTATAACCCTGTTTGATTATGGCACATCGAAGAAGTCTCAGAAGGAGTTGTTGGCTATTGTGAAGAAGAACTTCGATCTCAGACCTGGCAGAATTGTTAAGTAAGTGGTAAATGATTATTCAAGTGTGTGGTTCTGATATATATTTTATTTAAACATTTTCTTTCAAGTAGGTATATTGAAAACAACTTTCGATTTGCCGCTGTGGTTTGGAATAAGCGCTAGCTGCTAAATGTGTCGAGGTTCAGAATGTTAATTCTTAACCTTTATGGTATTTTTCTCCATTACCCTGTATTCCCACATTAACTGTTTTGCTGTACCTTTACCTTTCAGGACCTTCACAGTATTTTCTGGGCTTGTTTCTATCTTTTATCCATTCCTGATTTGCCTGCCTGCTTAGTCTGCGTTTCCAATTTTCACTGCCCTTTCCTTAAAAGTTCCCTGTCTCTTCCCTCGAATTGCTTCGCCAAACTTCCTGGCTATCAGACATTGCTTTAATCAGAATATTTGTTTCAGGGAGCTTAATCTGCGTAATCCCATTTACCAGCAGACCAGCACGTATGGCCATTTTGGTCGTAACATATTCCCCTGGGAGCAGCCCAAGAAACTGGTCGATTGATGAAAGGGGAAGGCACTGTTTTGTAAGGCTTCTAGGAGTTGGACAATTCCCACCTAATCTTCCTCTGACATTTCTTGTCCCACGTCTTTAACACCTCATAACTTTCTAATTCTGTTTGTTTTAGTGTTGAATTATATAAATACAGGCAGTATAGAAGTACATGTTGTAACCCAAATATGTTTGTGTACAACGCTGCTATAGGAAAAAATATTGAGCATAATGTCGAGCAAAATGTAAGATGAAGTCTCCTGGATTTGTGTAGGTATTCTGAACCTAGCCTAACATTTTAAGGTTGTACCACGCCGTGTGGGTGGGACGAACCACCACGTGATAGAAAGTTCACTCCTTGTGCGCTTCCTGTTTTTCATCCTCATAAACTCAAAGTGGACAATTTCAAACTGCTGCAAAAAGCTGTTTGCGTTTTATACAGACATGTTAAAAAAAATATTTTATAAATAATTTATGAACTTATGTATTAATGTGTGTGATGTCCTTGTGATTTTTAGCTGTAGTTGAAACACATAGTGATGTGGGGCAGAGTCCCCTCAGTTTTCGCGGCGTGGTATGTACTTTTATATCCCCAACGTCACCTGTGGTGATGGGCACTTGGGGGATCTGTCGGCAAGAGGGGAAGGCAAAGCCTGGCTCTAGACGGATCACAGTGAAAGGCTGTGGCCAGCCTTTACTGCAAATGTGTGTGGCACCAGAAAGCGCCTTTCCCACTAGAGTTTTTTCTCTGAGTGGTACAACTCCACACATTTTGTGTTGTGTTTACGAAAAAGAATCTATTGGAAAAGAGCATTTCCGAAAACACTCCGATCTGTCCAGATTCCTGGAGAGCGTAGCAATTCCTCTCTCTCTCTCTCCCCTTATTATTCTTTTTTACAATTCCTATGTCTCGCGCATTTATGAAATAGGCCGTAGGCACAGTAGAGTAATGTTTGAGTGTGATATGTTGTAAATGTTTTAGTGTGACCAAGTTTCTGAGATAGAAGTTGAATATTTTTTGAGTTGTAAAGTTGTGCTACGTCTTTGATCTTCCCCATACAAATTGTGTATGTTTATTCTAATAATGCTGTATTTCATGCAGATGCATATGGAATGAAGACAAATGAGAAATAAAATGTATGTAAATGCCATTTTGTGTATGGCAACTGGAAACGTGGTTTTCATTTCATAAACCTTGATTTCCTGAGTAGTGCTGCACAATATTCTTCCTGTAATTGTTAGTCCTCATGTTGCACTTTCCTGCTTCTATTAACACTTATTCATGTCTTGTTCAACCTGTACCATTACAGACATTTGAGTATGAAGAATTCATAGTTTATTTATAAGCAGAATGATTTCACTTTAAGGATGAACATGGAAATGTAAAAATGCATGTGTTGACTTGTTGAAATAATGAATTGCATGTGAAATATGCAAATGAAGTGAAATAAAAGAAAATTGATTTCCTCAGGAATTTCGTTGTAGTTTTGTTGAAAGCAATATTCACAGGGCAGTGTAGCTTATTGTAGTATTGTTACTAAATCATTGTAAATGTTTGGTCTGGTTTTGAGAATTTTTGTAAAATATATTTACCCAATTACGGTTGATGTATTTGCTTGTTAAAATTGTTGGTTGAAATGTAATTACGTTTATGAAGGATTTGTATATTATAATGTAGGTTGTAAAGTTACTATATGGGTGTATGCTGTGTGGGATACGAGGTGGTCTGACAGTATCCGTGTGGAGGAAACGCACATGTGATTCACAGATGTGACTGTTGAGTTCATGGTTTGGTGAAATGGTCGTACAATGTCAAGAAGGAAAGCTTGTAATTTGAGTTGCTAACATGATGGAGGTCAGGTCGTAAACCTTCATGCCGACTGAGTAAAAGTTGAAACAGCAAGAATTTGAGTTGCTAACATGATGGAGGTCATGTAGTGAACCTTCATGCCGACTGAGTAAAAAGTAGAAACAGCAAGGCGTAGGGTTGCCAACATTGTAGTATATGTGAGAGTTTTACCTGTGGAAGTAGGTTCTTCCAGGCGTTCCAAAATGGCAGCATTTGCAACGGAAAGTAGAGTTTGTGAAACTGCGGGTTGTAATTCTGCTGCGAAGTTGCAATGCCCAACTTGTATAAAGTTGGGGATTCAAGGGTCATATTTTTGTTCTCAGGTAACATGCAGTAATAATTCTGTTTATTCTACAGCGTTCGCAGTTACATAGACTTTATAAGGGATCCGATTGGGCATTTGCGTAGGGTTATGCTTGTGTACGTTGTGTGTTTTTGAGACAGATTTCGGTAGACGACGTATAACCTTATGTATTATCGTGCAGGTATATGTTAAGCATTCAAGTTGTGGATTTTTAAATCCATGTTTAATTTTGATTTCTTTAGGAGCTTTTGGGTGGTCTGTAATGCATATTTAAAGATGTATATATCGTTTTCAGGATTGCTTTAAAGGAAATTGGAAGTCACATAAGGTTCTGCACAAAATAGCAAGTAAGTATACGAGATTCCTACCCTTTGGTCTTTGCATCCATAGTTTGTTTAACTTGGTCCCATTGTGTGCTGAACTTATAGTGTTTTGGCTGAAATTTCAATTGCTATCTTCACGGCGAGTATGCAGCGAAGGGCCAGCCCATCGGAGAGCATTCCACTCTGATGATTATCTAATTATTTCGCTCACTTTCAGTCTAATCTTCCATGAGTCATTCTTTTAGTTTCACTTCATTTTGCCACACACTCATCCTGAAGATAGCAACTAAAGTTACCATTGGAACAGCTTCAGTGTTTCTGAAAAGCTCCAAAGGTGATGTATTTATTTATTCTTTTATTTATATACATAACAGAAGTAACATTTTGTAAAAGGTTCACCGTTGAGGTATTAAAGGCAATGAATATGAATTGATAGTTTCAGTTTCCAGTCCTAGTATTTTTAAAGCCATTGTCAGGCATTGTTGCTATGCTGCTAAATTTTAGGGACAACAAATCCTACATGGGTTCATAGGTTCCTGTGTTTTATCAGTGCCATATGTTTGCTTTCCCATGCACAGTCAGCAAATTGCATTTACTATGTTTAGGCACTGCTTGTGTATTTGTGAAGCGAAATTGTACTTGCCAGGATGCAGTTGTTATTATGCATTTGTGACTGAGGTAATATTCGCGTTATACAGTTACAGAACAAGATGAAACACAAAAAATGCAGTTTGTTCTCAGTTAATATGCATGGCACTGATGTGCAAGCTTTATGGAAGCCCCCCACCCCTAAAGGGTTATTAAATATTTTTGTTAACTTCAATTAATTATTTATTTATTTGCAGAAGGTGCAGGTGTTGATGGTAAAGATGAAAAGGATGATTATGATCCATGGCCACATTTCAGATTTACTGGTCAGTAAGATTAAATATAATTTAAGCTCAGTAAATTAAATAATACACAGTATACCCACGTTTATACTTGAAAACCAGAATAAAGGTTTTGGAAGAATGTATTTATAAAATGGAGGTGCACCTTTTGATTCTTCTTTTGTGTGGGATGTGGTTTGTAAAAAGCAAGATCTGAAGGTAGTATGTTTTTCCTTTTTCCTCCTTACTGATACAAAAAGATTGGAATCTTGCGTCCCATATTGTAGTACATTGTACGAAGCATTATCATAAAACGGTTTTATATTGTTTGAAGATCTGTTGAACAGGCAAATTACGACCATTTCCACAAGGCCCACGACGCTTCATACCAGCGCACATATCTCGGCCTGATTATGCTCATGATCCCGAGGGCATACCTGTCTCAGAGCAAGCCGTGCGGGGCAGTGCGCAGATTAAGTCTTTGACAGAAGATGAGGAAGAGGGCATGCGGGTAGTTTGCAAGGTTCGTTGTTCCTTACTTTAAATACAGCGGACTCGGTGGGTTCAGGTACAAGTGAAGAAGGCCGTGTATTAGACAATCCGCCATTGTGGTAAAATGTTTTACAGATCAAAGACCAGAATCAGGTCAACTTGCAGATTGGGGGGAGACTGAAATTTAATCTCCACTCACGCACTTGTATGATTTAGTGATTTATGATTTTTTTAGCGATTTGGAATGTGATCTTTGGCTTATGACATTATGTGTCTTATAGGTATTTGAAGTAATTTTCTTGTATGCTGGAGATGGGGGGTAACATGTTCCTCTCGTTCACACGCGGATATTTGTGATTTCTTCGTAGTTGGGACGTGAAGTCCTAGATGAAGCGGCTCAGATAATGGACGCTGGAGTGACTACAAAGTCCTAGATGAAGCGGCTCAGATAATTGACGCCGGAGTGACTACGGACGAAATAGATCGCGTAGTGCACGAGGCTTGCGTGGACAGGGATTGCTATCCGTCACCACTCAACTACTACAAATTTCCCCGGTCGTGTTGTACTTCGCGTCACCACTCAACTACTACAAATTTCCTCGGTCGTGTTGTACGTCAGTCAACGAAGTTATCTGCCACGGGATTCCCGATCTCCGCCCGCTCAGCGACGGAGACATTTGTAATGGTAAGTGTATCAGTGTTTTATGTTCCCGAACTGCAGCGGCCAAAGAAGAATATTGAAGCTGATTATCTTTTATGAAGTGATTGTGTGGAGATTCTGTAGTTGAGTCAGAAGTGAGGTTATGTAAATATAACAGATCTTAAAATAATCAGAAAGTTAAAGATTTTTAACTTATGAAACATCTCATGGACTTTACCTCTGTTTTTTTTAAGCCATTGCCAACTGAGTTGGGATTTAGCCATCAACTTTCTTCCTTTTTTTCAGTATTCCATGTTTTTATGCACCGCATTTCCTTAATTAATTCCTGTAAATAAATATTTCTGTAAACTGGAAACAAGATAAGTTAGAAGACCAAAGAAAGTGGTCTATGCTCTCGGTAGATTTGACTTCTGTCCTGTGAAATGTTTATTTTATTCTTTCCGAAGTATGAGACGTGTATTTTGTGTAATTTCGTGACTTGCAGTTGACGTAACTGTTTACCACTGGGGTTTCCACGGGGATTTGAACGAGACCTTTCTCATAGGGAATGTAAGTCCAGAAGCAAAGAAACTAGTCCAGGTTACGTCCGAGTGTCTGATGAAGGCCATCAGCATAGGTAAATATGGAACATGTTTGTCTTAAGTGCGTTGATGTTGCGTCGTGCCGATGTTGCAAATCTTTTGAGGTTATGTTTGAAGTATATCAAAGCAGACTGTGTGTTAATTAATAATCTGCGACTGTTTACAGTGCATCCAGGAGAAAAATACAGAGAGATTGGAAATGTGGTCCAGAAGCACGCGCAGAGCCACGGTTTCTCCGTGGTTCGCAGTTACTGTGGCCACGGGATCCACGGGCTGTTCCACACGGCTCCCAGCATTCCTCACTATGCCAGTAGGTTCCGTTTAGAGAATGAAGTACTTGCGTCTTCTGTATTATGCTTATCCTCGTGTGTTGTGTGAAATTACAATTTTTGACACATTTTAAATTTTTTTGGGATATCGTGATGTGATGCCACACAATTTTTGTGTTCTGTGCGCTCTCTGCTTTTTTTTATAACTTCTATACTCAGAAGAACACTGGGGTTTGGGTAAACAAAGTAACAACATGAAACTTTACGCTTATGTGCCAAAATTATTTTTAGGAAGATGGAAAGGATCACATTTATCAGATGGAATGCTATTATTTTTTTCAGAAAACAAAGCGGTGGGTGTGATGAAGCCGGGACACTGCTTCACGATAGAACCCATGATCTCGCAGGGTGAGTTATCTAAGGAGCCCACGCACGTTCTTGCGGCACGTAAACTTTCTGTTGCTGTATTTCCCATGAACACACTTTTACGTCTGTGAACATCAAAAGAATATTCAGGATCTGTGATTAGAAGTCGTGATGTGTTTCACGGCTTAATACATCACCATGACGATTGCAATTTCACTGCAGTCTTCTTTTTTGTAATTCTTTTACTCTGGGTGCTTTTAATGTCGCTCACTACGTCCAGTAGTGGGAAGGACAGTCGTGATGTTTTTAATCTTCAGGGTAGACTTTTAGGTGGGTAGCTGTGTTTTGGAGGAACTCGTGCTGCTAACAAATGTTAGTGACCGTGTTACGAGACCACAGGACTAAATCATGAAAACTGCAATTGACATTTTCGCTGTCACGAGGACCTCAAATTGTGGGTGATGACAGTGGCGATCATAAGTGCAGTGAAATCTCCATTTAAGGTTTCTTTGGGGGCACCTAATTTGAAACACAACTGGGAAAGAAAGAAAGAAAGAAAAAACTTGAAAAGGAGGACGAGAGTTTTGAAATTTAATGTCAAATTACAGAGGTCCTTAAATTGAATAATATTAATTGGGGGTTTCACTGTAATGTGAAGTTTATACTTGAAAGCAGCAGCTGTTTTAATTTACGCCCCACGTTCTGCTCCATTAACGCAGGCAGCTGGCGAGACGAAATGTGGCCGGACAAGTGGACCGCCGTGACGGTGGATGGTCTGCTGTCGGCTCAGTTTGAACACACGCTGCTGGTCACAGAAGACGGCTGTGACATCTTAACTTCTCGCCAAGAAAAGAACGGACAATTTCACTTCATGGACAAGTTGTAACGAAGGACAGGTGAATAGCGGCTCAACTAGCGCGAGGCATTTTCTAGTGCAGAGCATTCTTATTTCTGATGCCTTTTGACTGGAGTCGCTGGTACTGCGGACGATGATCAGCGTTCTTATTCTATGCTGAGACGCAAGTTTTTGTTGATGTACGCTCGTTTTGATCGTTTCAGTGCTGTAAACGGACGGAACGGTCGGCCGAGGTCTGTGGTTACGGAAATGAATTGGTTTGCCGTTAATATTATTTTGTTCAACGCAGTCATGTATGTAGCTGTAAAGAATGTGTAAAACGGAGATGGCATATTGCCCCCAATATTGGAATTAAAATGTTACGTAATTCTCAAGGACATTGGTTGGTTTGCTTTAAGAATCTCGTGTGCCTGGCTCGTTTATCGTTTCATAGCACGTGCAAGTCTCCTGACCAAATTTTTTTTTTTTTAAATATTATGTAATTCTGACACACATAGCAGCCATTTTAAAATATTATAGCGTTAAATATGTTTCATTCAATGTTTTTAATGCCTGTTGGAAAAGTATAGTGATTCAGACATTTGAAGTTTTGAAAATAAGCTGATGGACTAACGGACGGTGGGTGGTGTACGTGTCCCGAGTACGGACTTAGGTTGCCATCGGAAGGGTTGGTGCTGACATTTTTTAAAGAGAATTTTCTACAATAGATGCAATAAGTCGTTCAGTGTTTAGTGAACGTGCAGTGTATAATAAATATAACCTTTAAATGACGGCATCTGAATCCAGAAAATAGTTAATCTTACCTTTCTTGATTGTATTTTGGGTTTTTACAGAAAGTGTTGCCCGCTTATGATTATACTTCTGAATTACCTTTTATTTACCGTCGCTTTCATCGTCATTTTCGTGCCCTTTCCCGAGTTCAGAACTCTGCAGAAATCATCGCAGGATCTGTGCAAGTCTTAAACTCGAGTATAAAAATAAAACAAAATCATAACGGGGACGGAACGAGACGAATGTCTCAGAAGCCATTGATGTTGCGACCAGAAGGAGGTGAGTGATGGACCCCGAATGCGAGAGTCGTAAATCTTCTCTTTTGCAGCGACAGAGGACGGCCCTGGACTTCGTTTCTCTTTGTTTAGCTCTGCTTAGCGACGTGGGTGTATGGAAGAGTGGAGGTATAGCTCCATGCATCCTAACCTTTGCACAAGTTGGAGGTGAGTGGTTACCTTCCTGCTCCAGCCACTTTGTCCACGAGGAAAGAACCTCAAACCCCGATGGGTAGGAGACTGTCGAATCGAGAGCTGGTCTGGACCATGTCAACATTACTTGCGGTGTTTTCTGTGAGATTTACGCCAGTCTAAATGTCTTATTTGTGAATGGATGCAGGAGTCAAGCAAACGAAGTGTTTTAATTTTTCGATAAGTGGTTTCATAACGAGTAAAGGAGCTGTATGAAATTATTATTATTACCAATCTTTATTTTCTGATTTATATAAATGCCAGACAATGATAATTGCTTGGACTCGACATTCGGTAAATGGCGTTTGTTGCTATAGACCCTTGTTGCTCTATTTTCGCGATTTCACAACGACGATTTAATCAGGCATTTCGTAGAAGAAGAGGTTTAGAATAGGAAGGAAATAGCAATTTTCTCCGCCACGGTCGGATGTTTGCAAGACACCATTTTCTGGCTCGGAAACACACCCCACCCTATCCAATGCCCGTGCGATGAATCAATCATCCTGAAAGGGCTTTGTGGGATGGCGAAACAGAACGGAAGAAGTCTTTTGTACCATAAAAAGTTGCAAACAGTTTAGTGCTCTTGTAATTTTCATTATAGGAAAAGTTGTTGTGCCTACAAAGGAACATGCAGGCCTACTATTTTTAATATTGTATTAGATCTTTTGTAATTGGCTGCTGAACTATGCTACTATATCATATTATTTCACAAGTTCTGTTTGTAAATGACTGATGTCAGTGGGGGATGTCACAGGTTCAGTTTGCATCTGGAACTGACTGTATACCGGAGATTATTATAGATTATTTCACATCAAATAGGAATATAATGGGCAACGGCCCACCTAACAAAGACAATTGGAAGACCTACGTGTAGATGAGACGATAATATTAAAATCGATTTTATAGACCCTTGGTGGGAAGGTGTGTGGTGTATTTCTAAACTGAAATTAATTGTATAGTTGTGACTGGCTGAGAGCTGATTAATTATTTATTATGACGGAATTAAGAATTCAACTATTTTCATATTTCTCCAGAGAAATATTAAAGCTATCATTTCGGATCAAGCTGCAGGGTACATGTTCAAACAAAATCTCTGCGATTAATCAGGTTCAAAACTTCTGCAGTCCTCGTTTCAGATAGCAGAGTAGCTGATGTCACAGGTGTTATAAACTCTGATTTATACTTTGATTAGAAAAATGTGGCGGACAATTTGCGTGTTTCATCGATGTGGTTTCGGGATGTTTTGTTTTCCACAATGGCAGTACCGTCTCGTTGCAAGGTACGTGTTCAAACAAAGATCTCTGCGATTATTCAGGTTCGTACTTCTGCAGTCATTCGTTTCAGATAGCAGAGTAGCTGTTGTTACCGGTGTTATAAACACAGATTAATACTTTGATTAGAAAAATGTAGCGGACAATTTGCATGTTTCTTCGATGTGGTTTCGGGATATTTTGTTTTCCACAATGGCAGTGCCGTCTCGTTGTGGATGCAGGATACGAACGCCACTTTAAAATGTGTTGTTAAGTTTAGACAAGAATAAAAGTGTTTTGCAAATAGTAGGACGTGTATTTTAGTAATTACGACAAGTGCTGTGTATTTTACGAATGTGAAGTAGGATGTGGCCAAAGTTCATGACATTAAATTGTGATCTCTCAATGTATTATAAAATGGCAATCGCGAGCGTGGGACTGTTTGTTGTTGCTGCGTCAGTGTTCTAAAAGTGTAGCAGTGATGTCTTGTCTACAAACTGGAGGTAAGTCTGTTTGTTTGCATTACACAAAATACTACATTGTTAGTTTTTGGGTATGTCAAATTTTGCCCATAAATGTCCTGTTGAATACTTTTGTACATTATTCGTAATCAAATATATCACGCATACCATATTGCCATGCAAATTTTAATACCCCACGTTAAGGTTATTGAAAGGCTTGTATCCGGGATAGATGTACCAACCTTTATAATCGTAATTATGTAATTTTCTTACCGAAGTAACTTTTTATTAGGACTTTAATATTGTTTATATGACGATGCTGTTAAGGTTTCTTCGATACAGTTAGCAGATTACAGTGAAGGCCTCCCTAGGCGAATGTAACTAGACCTAACCATACCAAACGAAACACAGCGGATCAGTGCGGAATGACGAGGTTGCAACCCAGCCTTGCTGTAATATGTATAACACGAAAACTAAGATAGCGAATTCCAGAAGTAATAACTGTTTTCGGTGGGTATAGTTTTATTTGTTTTGTCTTGTTTTATGTGTTATAGTAGTTACAGATTTGATTTATGAAGTGATTATAATCAGATTTTTAAAGTATCCGGAGATTGCCATCAAAGTGATCGCTTAGTATTTATTATCTTGGTCAATAGATGGCTTATAGGGTGCGTGTTGATATAGCTTACAATTTATTATTTGCTGAGACAGGCGCTAGGGATCAGGTGTATCGAATTTTAAAAGATTTCTGTAATGCAAAAGACACATGGCCGTGTGGCGGGTTAACACAATCTCCATACCCGCTACAATGACGATGGCTTATTTTTGCGTGGTGGATCGATACGGAGTAGTGTTCGCGGCGAAGTTATAAAAATGAACTTGTTGACTGTGATGCAGTTTTTAGTGTTTTGCAAGACGCCATCAGAATTAGACTCTGGGTTCGAGAGTGAATGGCGTGCAGGCAAACTGGACTGCCGATCAGTTTTATTTCGTTGGCGGAAATGCTACAATATTTAGACATCGCGTAATGTGACACATCGTGAGCGAATTTTATTTATTGTTTGTTTTTAATTTACAAGTTTCATTCTAGCATAGATTTATGATTTCAGTTTCAATTCGATTGAAAAATAATATTCAGCAGGTCCTGATTCGTTATGTATAGTGATCCAAGCCCAGTAGCGAATTTTAAGTATCCACACATTTACGAAAGGGTATTATAGTGTGTTATTTTAAAATAAATACGGGAGTCAGATACATTTTTAAGGTAGCTGTCTTCTGGGTTGTAGCACCGTGGTTCTACCAGGCTACGCGGCACTACAACTCGAAAGACAGCCATCTTCGGACTCACCGCCGTGGAAACATATAAATGTTTGTCTGGAAGCCATCTTAATTCTGTGAGACTTACGTAATCTTTTTATTATGATTAAAATAAATCCTATCAGATATTTTGATTTTACAAAGGCTATCAGATATGATCATTCCTTTTTTTTTTAAGAATAAATTTTTGAAAATAGAAAATAAACAGCCAATATTATTCATAAGAATCGAATTTCCGATTTTATCGATTAATGATTTGAAATGGTTGGTACAGAGTGGTTGCGTGTACTGGAGTTTGATGTTTTGTAATTTTAATTTATATTTATTGAGGCTGTAGTTTGAACACTGAGAACTTTAGTTAGTTATGTAATGATTTAAACTTTTTACTCGGGAAAGTCCACGGACTTCCCTTGCAGGAACTGCGTTTTCCCATTCTGTGTAACCTGAGCTCATATCCCGGTGACACATAACATGAACTCCCTCGTATTTGGAAGGGTCTTCCTCACGCAACGATGGCTGATTACGTGATTAAGACGAACTGAAGTCATTGAAGACTGCCATAGAGGCTGCGTCTTTGTTTTCCTCACTGATTTGTGTTCGATTCCTGACAGGTGCTGTCTCGTCCAGACCGACTGTGATGAACAACAAACATCCAATAGTGAAGCTGCCATTAGTTTCCTTCTATTGTCAAAGCCCATGGCACAGAGCAAGAACCCATCTGTACTTTGTATTAAACACAAATCAAAAATTAATTAATTTTTAAACCCGCGCCTTGTTTTCATTTTAAATTGAAAGCATTTTAGTTGTAGAGAATAATTAAATTTTTGTGCAAGTAATAATGACTGTGTCATATGATACCTGCACTGTTTATTAACTCTGTCATTACCAGATCGTTCTTCGTAATGAGCGAACGGCAAGATCATTGAAGTGTGTAAAACGCGAAAGACTGCGTGCAGGTGGCAGCTCTGCGGCCCACAAACCACAGCGTAAATTCCCATTATTATTGTAGTTTGCGTGTTTCAAAATGAACTATTTATTATTTGTGTTTTTGTTACACAAAGTTCACCAAATAAATGCGTAATGGGGAGGTAATTTTTGCCTGTCTGCGACACG